AGTGGGGTTTACAAAGCACCAAGCCTTCTAAGTGCATTTGAAAATCTCACTAGGTGCCTAAATACCTTGTAACCCATCTGTACAATGGGGATAACAGCACTGCTCTACCTCACCGAGGGGCTGTGAGGAGAAATAGGTTAGACATTGTGAGGCGCAGTCTTAAATATCATGGTGATGGGGCCCCATAAGTACCACAGGTAGAATGGGATCTTCTCTATACACTGCTAGCCCTTCTCTGGGTTTGACCCCTTCTTTTCACCTATGCCTCCAAATCTCCCCCTTTTCTGAATGTAACCTAGGCTCAGTGCTTTGCTGTATTTTTGATGAATTCCTGCCCCACTCCCCTCCCCCCCATGTTCCCTCTAAAACAACCCTCCACAGAGGGATTCCTCTTTTTCAGGCTAAACTTCCATATCCTTAATTTTTGTTCCCAGTGTCTCCTTGCAGTGAGTATGAAGTGCATCACTGTGGACATTGCAAGGTTCCTCCCTGTTAAACAATTAGTCCCAAATACCATCCGTCCCTGATGTGAGTGACTAGCTGAGAGTCTCTGGAACCATGGCCCAACTCTCTGCTGGCTGTGTCTGTGTCTGTGATTCCCATTTACACTAAGGGTATGTCTTCACTACCCGCCGTATCGGCGGGTAGCAATCAATTTAGCTGGGATCAATATATCACGTCTAGTTAAGACGCGATATATCGATCCCCGAACGCGCTCACCGTCGACTCCGGAACTCAACCAGAGCGAGCAGAGGTAGCGCAGTTGACGGGGGGAGCCACGGCTGTCGATCCTGCGCCATCTGGACCCCAGGTAATTCGATCCAAGATACTTCGACTTCAGCTACGCTATTCGCTTAGCTGAAGTTGCGTATCTTGGATCGATCCCCCCTCTTCCCCCAGTGTAGACCAGCCCTAAGGCCGCTTTACACCTCATGGACAGCAGAAAGGGATTGGTAAAGTGAGAGCAAATTTAATTTAAGTGGCCTTAGGCCCTAGTTTACACAATGTGTGCAGAGGGTTTGCATGTGGGGGCTAGTGTGAGGGGCAGCCTCAGGTCAGTCTCTAGGGCTGTAGCATTAGCCCTGAGACCTGGGTGGAATCAAGAAAAGAGTGTGCATGAAGCTTCAGTTGTGGATGGAATCTCAAAGTCTGATGCAAACTCAGGCCTTCCAGGTGTCACCAAAGTGCATATCCCCTTCTGGTGAGTTTGGCCTTTTTAAGTTACTCTTGTCATTGGAAGTCACCAGCCAGGTTTCTTTTGGGAGAAATGTACCTTGATCCTCTCTGCAGAATTTGTTTCCCTGACACTGATAAAGGGAGAGCCTTTGTGGAAGTCAGGATTCCTCAAGCTACTCTGGCTGAGCCATGAGGGTAGGGATGGAGAGATACCAGCGCTTCTTCAACAGGATTATTCTAAGAGGTTTTCCTGAGTGTTCATCGGTGTGAAGATTAGAGAGGACAGGGATAAATCCTATTTATTTGAAGCCATATAATCTTCCTGAAGCTCTTAAATGGTGCCTGAATCTTTAATTACAGAATTGCAAGATGGGCTGCTGCAAACAGGCCCACCTGCACTGACTTTTCTGAGGGCAATTGGCAGTAATATCCACTTACATGCTTTCATTTTACCTTCAAAAATTGAACTCTCTAAAGACATATCTTCTATTTGGCTTTCCTCCCCGAGGATACTTCAGTACCTACTGATACAGTCACTGGATTTCTGTCTGCAGAAGCCCGTGATGACACTGGACCTGCTAAAGGAAAGGTTTCTTTTTCAGTTCATCAAACTGTAGCCACAGAACTAGCTTCAGCATTTTACTTTACTCCGGTGTAACGCAAGGAACTTACAAGCCTGAAACCTGTAAGGCATTAGCTTAAGCAGTTGACTTAAAACTTTACAGCCTATGAACTTTAGCACAGATAAATGGCCCAACAGTGACCCTCAGTTTGGGGAATTGGGAACATTGTACTTGGGGGCAGGGGGGGGTCAGAACAAAATGATACCAAGTAACCACATGAACACTGAGCTGATGCTAGCCTTGGATATTTTAGGATAAAATGTTGGCACATGCTTAACCATGAACTTGCCTTGGCAATTAATTGAGGTATATGATAATTAGTTGAAATCATTAATATATATTAATCTATCAGATAGGAATACCCCAACATAATTAGGGTGAGGAGGTTAAATATAGAGAAAGGAGGCTGAGTATTTGTATGGGTATTCATGACAGCCCCTAGCCCCTATAATAGGCCAGGCCACCATGTAAAAGGGAGATTCGTTTGGCATGCCAGAGACAAAGCAGGACCTTTGTCTCTTACCATCAGATCCCCAAGGAAGGATGTGACTATGTGTGAGGGAATGGTACAAGAGACTGCTTTAATACTGTATTTTTGCTTTCTTTTTACATGTTTGAAGCGTTTGTGTCTTTGCTAATTATGCTAATAGAAGTGGTTAAAGCTTTGCTTTGCCCTCAGTGTGGGTTTCCTCATTGTGCACACTGGGTTCCCACCCAGATATAGAATCATAGAAGATTAGGGTTGGAAGAGACTTCAGGAGGTCATCTAGTCCAACCCCCTGCTCAGAGCAGGACCACAACTAAATCATCCCAGCCAGGGCTTTCTCAAGCCAGGCCTTAAAAACCTCTAAGGATGGAGATTCCACCACCTCCCTAGGTAACCCATTCCAGTGCTTCACCACCCTCCTAGTGAAATAGTTTTTCCTAATATCCAACCTAGGCCTCCGCCACTGCAACTTGAGACCATTGCTCCTTGTTCTGTCATCTGCCACCACTGAGAACAGCCTATCCCCATCCTCTTTGGAACCCCCCTTCAGGTAGTTAAAGGCTGCTATCAAATTCCCCCTCACTCTTCTCTTCTGCAGACTAAATCAGCCCAGTTCCCTCAGCCTCTCCTCATAAGTCATCTGCCCCAACCCCTAATCATTTCCATTGCCCTCTACTGGACTCTGTCCAATCTGTCTATCCTTTCTATACTGGGGCCCCCAAAACTGGACACAATACTGCAGATGTGGCCTCACCAGTGCCGAATAGAGGGGAATAATCACTTCCCTCAACCTGCTGGCAATTCTCCTACTAATGGAGCCCAATATGCTGTTAGCCTTCTTGGCAACAAGGGCACACTATTGACTCATATCCAGCTTCTCATCCACTGTAATCACCAGGTCCTTTTCTGCAGGACTGCTGCTTAGCTAGTCAGTCCCCAGCCTGTAGCAGTGCATGGGATTCTTCCATCCTAAGTGCAGGACTCTTCACTTGTCCTTGCTGAACCTCATCAGATTTCTTTTGGCCCAATCCTCCAATGTGTCTAGGTCACTCTGGACCCTATACCTACCCTCCAGCATATCTACCTCTCCCCCCAACTTAGTGTCATCTGCAAACTTGCTGAGGGTGCAATCCATCCCATCATCCAAATCATTAATGAAGATGTTGAACAAAACCAGCCCCAGGACTGACCCCTGGGCCACTCCGCTTGATACCGGCTGTCAACTAGACATCGAGCCGTTGATCACTACCCATTGAGCCGGACGATCTAGCCAGCTTTCTATCCACCTTATAGTCCATTCATCCAATCCATACTTCTCTACCACCGCTTTCCTCATATCCACAGAGCCAGTTATCTCATCATATAAGGCAATAAGGTTGGTCAGGCATGACTTGCCCTTGGTGAATCCATGTTGGCTGTTACTGATCACCTTCCTCTCTCCTATAGTGAACTTGATAACTTTGCTTCTGTTGTGCTTGATTCTGGGCCTAGAACCCTACAGTCACCCAGCTCTTTAAATTGGTAATTAATTGGAAATCAATAACTACTAAAGAATTTGGCAACAAAACTGAAATTATGGTCCTCAGATGCAGGGCCTCTTAATCAATTTACTTCAACCCAGGAAATCATCTTCATATGTTCTAGGTCAGAGGTGGCCAATCCATGGCTCGTGAGCCACATGCAGCTCTTTTACAGTTAAGGTGCAGCTTGCAGAGCCCCCCTCCCATCCCCTCCCGCATTCTCCACCTACCAGACTAGGGGAGCTTGGGACCTCTGCCTTGCAGTGGGGTGGTGAAGTAGAGGCTTCTGCCCAGCGGGGACTTACTGACTCTGAGCTGCATACAACAAGCTTCAGAAGTTCAAGAGCAGGGGCTCACCTGTTGGGGCTTCAGCCCTGTGGTAGGTGCCTGCCAAGGCTCGGGACTTCAGCCCTGTGGGGCATGTCTGGCGGGGCTTGGGGCTTCAGTCCTGTGGGCATGCCTGCCGGGGCTTGGGGCTTCTTGAACTTCTGAAGATTGTTGTAAGCAGCACAAAAAGTCAGTAAGTTTGGCCACCCCTGTTCTAGGTACTGAAGGGAATACCTAGAACATAGGGTGCTGGGAATTCACTAGGTGGCACTCTTTCTTCTAAGTCAGTAGTGTACCGACACCATACAATGGTAGGGAACATTGTGCTGTAGCAAGTGGTGTAACTCAGTAGGGGGTGATCTTCCCTGGGAGTACTGAGTGCAGTGCTGCAGATATGTGTCTTTGGTATGATATAGAAGACTATGGTTCTGATCACATGTGGTCATTAAGAATCTCATGTCAATTCTTGTAAGAGTCATCAGGATGTCAGGAGAAATTCTAGAATGTGCAGGGGACACACATTCACTTAGGGCAGCTGCAAAATGCTGAGCGACCAGCCCTGGCCTGTCTGCCACCCCTGCCTGTAATGGTCTTTCACAGCATTCTCCCTCTTACATCTCCTCACATTGTCTCTTCTGCTGCGGCTGCCCCCGGGGCTGCATGGGGCCCGATGACTATACAGAACTGCCGTGAGTTCTGTTCCCTGCCCTTGGCAGTGCCCATGGCTCTGGGTTGCGAACATTCTCCTTAGCTCTGAGCTGTCAGTGGAAGAGCAAGGGAGGAGCAATGCATTGCGCCAGTGCTTCCTTAAGAGGCTGTTCCAGGAGGGGAGTTATGCCTCTCACCGTCTTTAATATTCATGAGCTGGAGGGCGTGATGTTCAGGCCGGCCAGGCGGCTGAGCCAGGGGATCCTCTGCGGAGTGTGAAAGTGACAGCTGGGCAGAGGGGAGTCCCGGAGGAGTACACCGCCCCTCCTTGCTCCTGCACAGCCCCAGGCGGCAGCCCGGGCCCCTGCACGCTCCCGCGGGGTTCGGATCCTGCCCAGCCCCAGGCGCTGCACCCAACCTTTCCTCCCGGTCCCCCGTCCTCAGCTGCCGCGGGGCCCCCGGCTGCCTCCGCCGCCCCGGGGAGCCCCTCTGCCCCCGTGCCCTATGGATTGCAGCCGTCCCGTGGGAGGAGGTGCCATGCCCTGTGGGTGCCCGGGGCCCTGCCATCGGCTGCACCGGGCAGCGCTGGAGTAACCCCCCGAGCCTTGGATTGGTGGAGGGAGCGAGGGACGCCCGGGATCCGGCCCGCCGCGCTGGCGGGAAGGCGGCTCTGCCCCTCACCTAACCCTGCTCCGGCGGGGCGCTGCCCGGCACCATGGACAGTATCCTGGAGCCCTTCCCCTCCGAGCGCCTCTTCCCCGGAGGCGGCTCCGGCTTCCTGGACCTGGGCGACCTGAACGAAGCGGATTTCCTCAGCAATGTGGTAAGGGAGCTGGGGGTGGGCGGGGGCTGCTTGGGCTCGTCCTGGGGTGCCTCGGGCTCTCCTCCAAACGGCGCCTACTCGTGCCGGGCCACGGCCGCTGCTCGGGGAATTCCTGCCTGTCCGCCGGGCAGGGAAGCGTGAGCCTGGGCAGCGCAGCGCCCGTTTCCCTGAACCTGTCTCCAGCACTGAGCGCCCCAAGGCCAATGCTCCACATGGCCCTACAAAGCTCAGCCGGCCTGAGGCTCCTGTCACTGAGAGTCCCCTACAGCTGTACCCTCTCCACCCCCCCCCCCACACTCCTGCGACCTCCTCTAGGGATCAGCCTCCCCTTTGGCAAGACTGATGCCAGTTTTTTAAACCATGTCTAATGGGAATTCCACAGCGGGTCCTGGCACTTTGTTCCATTGCTTAACTAACTCTTCCCACTCTAACGGTACTGGAGACACTAAAGTTAGGGGGCAGCAGGCCCTTCTGTTGGAAACCTCTACTTTCCCTTGCTAACAGCTTTTTGTAAAATGACATTTTGAGGGTGAAACATCTGTTGCTTGGCTAACAAAGTTGTGACTTACTTTGGGGTGGGGAGGGGAGTGAACTAGAGGAAAATCCATTCAGCTGATTCCAAGTATGTAAAAACAGTGTATTCGCCTTTAAGAAAATTGTCCAGACTTTGTGCACTCATGTAACTCACATGTACAGTTGGTCCATTTTAAAACTTCAAACTAGTTTGTTCCAAATGAGGAATATGAGTTTTGTGTTTGTGAGCAAATTTAGCTTTGAACTAGTATGAATATTGCTGTCCCTCTGCCAACCAGTAGACAACATCTGGGGCTTTTCAGGTCACCTTCCCAGTGGAGGATAAATCAGTGACACAGAATTTGGGTATATTCTAAGTGTAACTTGTTTTATTTACACATACATCAGTCCTGGAACAGAGATGGTCACAAGCAGCATGCAGCTAATCCCTTCTTTCAATAATCTCACCTCAAGTTCCCCCCCCCCCTTCAAGGATGCACCTCTGTCTCTGATTGGAGTAAATTCTTGAGGCAAAGGGTATGTCTACATGGCAGTCAGTGGGTGACGGCAGAACATGTAGACATGCCTGAGCTAGCTTTGATCTAGCTAGCTCAGTCAGTAGCAGTGAATCCCAGCAGCAAGGGCTGTACAACCCCTCCCAGAACTCTGGTGACATATTCAAGTGGCTAGCCTGTACTGCTGCAACTTCACAGTACATTATTTGAGCTAATTAGATCAAATCTAGCACTGCTATGTTTACATGTGCAGAAGTCACACTTCTAATTGCAGTGTAGACTTACCCATAGGTAGAGAGCAAAATCTTCTACTCCTTGCACTGCTCCCCCCTACTGAGGAACTTTGCATGGCAAAACTAACACACACAGCAGGTCTTCTCCAGACTGAACATTTGCTCACACCCTAAGGCCTGGTCTACATACTTTTGAAAGTTTGACTGGTGTAACTATTTCAGTTATGGGTATGATTATTTTTCAAGAAATAGTAATACTGGTAAAAGCCCTAGTATGGATGTAGTTATACTAGTATAAAAGTGCCTTACAGCAAATTAGCTTATTCTTACATAAAAATAATCTATACCATTATATGCACTCTTATGTCTCTATAACTGGATCCGCACTAGGGGAGTTGTATAAATTAGACAAGGCCTAAGAAAAATAACTTGGAAGACTGTACATACCAACACCACCCAGTGATACCTGCCATGACACTATATTTAAAAATGTGTACTGACCATATGCAGTATGTTACTTTCCTGACTGATTAAATTCCATTTCTGCTCTAACAGTGACTGCAAAACTGGCATGAAAGGTCTCCATGTTCATTATTTCTCAGTGACTCTAGATTTATTGCACTCAGTTGACAAGTAAAAGCTTTTTTTTCTTTCGCACCACAAACTCCCCTGGGGATCTGAGACTCTTTGTTCTTGTGCATGATCAACAATAAAGATTTTGTAATCTTAATTCAGATAACAAATCTGTTGATGATACCGGAGCCTGAATGTACTGTAATCCAATTCACCGTCCGTGTAGTGGCTCTGCAGGGATAACAGCCAGAAAAAGGAGTAAAGATGAACTTTAGTGTAAATTCAGCAAATCTTACTGTGATAATGATGGGAAGGGGATCTGTTAAGTAAGGAGGTCTTATTTTTACATAATCGCTTTTCAATGTATTGCACTTTAAATCAAAGTGCTATGGTTGCATGATAATTCTTTAAACCATCAATGATTTCACTTCAGAGCGAGATGAGATTCAACATGGAGACCCTTCCATGTATTGTTCAGCAAATGTAGTTTCCTCTAAAGAGGTTGGACACTGTTAGAATATTGTGTTCACCATCAACCCCTTCCTGAAACAGTAACCTTCCTTAGTTAATCGTCTTGTCACTTAAGTAGTAGTTTATAACTCCTTTATTCTAAGGATGTTACAAGCTGAAATAATGGGATCATAGGTCTAGGTGCATCTTGGAATTAATAAATTAATGTGATTGAAAAGGGATGCTTGAAAGAGAACAGTGTTATTGATTGGAATATGACTGATATCTAGTTTAAAAAGCATAAACAGGGCTGGGCTTAATCAGTGCTTGGATGGGTGAACTCCAAGGGGAAAGGTGTCTATGGAAAATGCTCCTTTTGTTCACCAAGATGAGTGTATTACTAATGACAGCAAAAACAGATTTTCCTTCAGCTTGCTAGGTCACCTACTGCTTTTGAACACAGAGGAGTTTGTTCAGTGTTTTCACTGGAAATGACTGTTTATTAATAAAGCTAATCCTTCATGTGATGTTTGCTCATTGAATTAACCTTTCTGAATTCTGCACTGTCCACACCAGGCTTTGGCATTTTTCATTATTCTTGTCAGAATACGCGTACTCACTCCTTGGTTTTATCAGAGGAATGACTCAGAGAGCTCTCACTCTCTCTCAGCCCTCCTCAGTATCAAGCTTCTCAGCTCTATGATTCCAAGACTGGGCCTTCAGGCTCCAGCACCCCATTTCTCACTCTGTGCTTTTCAATGTGTTCAGACTTCTGGTGAGACTTCTCCCCCTTTCAGGAAGCATGCACCCTGTAAGCATTTGTTTTTAAAAGGCTGCCTTGTGACAGAATACAGAGTCGGAGGGCAGCATGGAACAGCCAAGCCAAGACAGTCTGATTTGGCAGAAGTAACTGCCCCAATATTCAGGGCCAGTTCTAGGTTTTTTGCCGCCTCAAGCAAAAAAAATTTTGGCTGCCCCCCGTCCCAGCCCTGGGCTCCTCGCTGCACTCCCTGCTCCCCCAGCCCTGGGCTCCCCCCTCCTGCTGCCCCAGCCCTGGGCTCTCTCCCCACCCCCTGCACCCTCCTTCCGCCGCATCCCTGGGTCACTGGTAACTCGCTCCCACGGCAGGTCATTCAGCAGGAATTCTAGATATGCACAGAACACAGACAGGATTGGTTCCCATATGATTACAGAACTCTAGTAAAGTGGAACAATTTTCAGCTTGTGTGATTGGAGGATATCTGGATGCATATTATAAGACTGTCTTACATAAATGAGGAAAAGTTGAGGTGCCTTTATTATTCTTTTGTTCCCTTCTTTCTTTCTATGCGGAATTTGCCAATGCAATATCACTGTCTTCCTTTTAAACAAACAAAAAAGGCAATGTCTGTTGAAAATAGCAATTCCAGTCCTAATAACCACTGAGATGCATTTCTTGCTCAATTTTACCCTACTTTTTCTACAGCAAGTTACAGTGGATCAGTATATTTGATTTGGGAGAAATGAAGTAACAGCTGCCCAAATTGAGCTTGAGCACTCCTGAATTTTGAGGTGTTCAAATCTGGAAGGCGGGTGCTGGGGGGGGGGCTGTGGCTCTGCAGGGGAGCACGGCAGCATGTATGCAGCAGTGTGTCTGGCGCT